GGCTTGGAATTCCCAAAACCAACGTGTGAGGCACGAGCTGTCTCGGACACGGCTCAAGGAAATTGAGAGTTCCCTAGAGAATGTTCATAGTTGGTTTCCTCCTTCTGTGTCACATAGGAAAACATGGGAAGAAGAAGTAATTATGTATTGCTAACTATATCTAAGCTTTAATCCGTCCTTGCAAGTTTTGATCCACTTTGATAAATAACTATTTGTTTTTCATGTACTTTTTGATATTTTCAGGCACACATTGAGAGAGTAATGCGTGATCATTTTCTTTTTAGAAGGATTACCGAATCCCAATGCCACGTTTTGCTGGACTGTATGCAAAAACTGGAAGTTAAGCTTGGGGATGTGGTTGTTGAACAGGTAGGTCTCATATGATTGAGTTTCATTAAAGGGAAAATTAAACTTGTGAGCGCTTTTAGCGAAGTTGTGCCTTACTAGCTTTCGATTGTGACCAAATAGAAATGACCAATCACGAAATGCAGGGTGAAGAGGGTGACTGCTTTTATGTTGTTACAAATGGCGAGTTTGAAGTCCTTGCTACTCAGGTATATTTCATCATTTCCATCATCATAATTAATTACACCAACTATTTAAAGGAAACTCAATAAATTCTTCTTCTTATTAATTCTTGTTACGTATTACATGGGCTCTTAATTCAATTTTGAATAAATCTTCATATATGAATTCTAGCAATGTATGAGCTGTTAAGTTCTATCGTTCATTAGTATTGTTTTCTCAATACCATATCTTTACATTTTCAGTATTCTGAAGAATAGATGGTCCTTTCTTTGCCAAAAAAAGGACTATACAGTGGCAAAAAAAACTTCACTTGTAGCAAATTAGGGAGAGAGGATTGGGCGGCTAGGGTGAGAGGAAAATTTTGAATTAGGGATGTTAGAGTTAGGGAATTATTGTATTAATAGTATGGCTTGTTTAGGGTTAGGCTTATGCATGATTATTGTGTTCTTTGGAGTTTTCTCTTGGCATCTTGGGCTCTAGAACTTCTTCTAGAGATTTGGAGAGAAAGATCATTCTCTCGAATTGAGGATCAATTGTATCTTGCTTTGTGTTTGTTTTGATTTGGATTTCCTTAATACAATTCACAAATTTTGGGTTGTTTTCATCACGTTCTTGTGTGTTTTCTCGCTGTTTTTATCAATGATTTGGATTTCCCTAATACAATTCACTGATTT